TGACCTCCCCGATGGTATCCACCTGCTTTCTGTGATCTTCTTCTGTTGCATGGTATCTAGGACCTTAGTGCCAACTGCCCATTGCCAGAGCTTTATACATACCAGTTGCTGGGCTCTCGCCAAATTACCCACCTGGTTCCTGACTTTCTGGCCCATATACCACCCATGAGCCCAAGTTATGATCTGCTTCAAAGTGTTGTTTCAAAGTCAATCCCAGAGCTGATTACTGAGATTCATAGTTAACATCCATCCCTAGTTTGTTCACTCACAAAGATTTCTTGAAATCTTGAGATCAAAGTACTTTGTGTGTATCTTAAAAGGTGATATCTACAGCAAAATACATATATGCGTTAATTCATCGATTTCCTTCACCTTCAGTTCTTGATTTATACAAATAATAAAGGCTTTTGTTTATTTAAATAGTCTTAAAAATTGTTTATGGCTATGCTGACAGTATCTGGATTGTGTTTGAAAGTCGTCTCTCATCAGTTAAGATATCCATGGCTATTTATTTGAAGATTCTTTGATCAAGTTGTTTTCATTGAAAATGAGTATGGTTTTCAAAATTACCAAAAGTTCTTCACAGTAATTAAATTGCTACTTGCTTTATCCATTCCTTGAGGGAAAAACTTAGCCAACCATTTGTTGAGCTGGGTTGGAAAACCCATCTATTATTGGATTCACTGATATTTTAATTATGATTTAATTATCAATGATTAAAGAGGAAAAAATCATAATTAAATAATCTGTCATACTCCAAATTTTTTAATTAGTTGATTTGCGCTAAATACAATATTGCAATCCTTTCAGCCAATCATTTTGAAAATAAGAAAAATAAAATTGAGTCTCTTTACTTTAATCTTTGAGATTTTGGAAGGGGCTGAGGAAAGAAAGGGAGGAAGGTCACTATGTGAACATCAAACGATACGCACCAATTTTTAAAACCCTAGCAAAGACTTTATGCTTCACCAAGCTCTGCTTAAGCACAGAGAGAAAATGAAGTTACCCATGACAGGGTATTACAATAATGCCATAGAAGCAATTCCTGTCTCCATAACGGGAAGTTGTATGTCAAGCTAAAATATCCAAGTCTTTTATATTTTAGGACTAATAACTTTTATTGGTGTTTTTAAGGGATGTCATTTTCTACTTTTTAAGAAATTTAATTACATTTGCTCTTCTCCAATCATCATCAATCCCCTCTTTTGGTCCATGCCTAGATTACAAAGAAAAATCTAAGCGAAACTGCAATGACTTTACCTGAATTCTTCTTTTTTATTATAAAATTTTATTTATTTATTTGAGAGAGAGAGAATGAGAGATAGCACGAGAGGGAAGAGGGTCAGAGGGAGAAGCAGACTCCCCGCTGAGCAGGGAGCCCGATGCGGGACTCGATCCCGGGACTCCAGGATCATGACCTGAACCGAAGACAGTCGCTTAACTAACTGAGCCACCCAGGCGACCCTACCTGAATTCCTAAGTAGAATACAAAATGTTCCAACTTTCTCATAGGACATACCAGTTTGCTATAGTTAACTACTTTAAGGAAATAAGCCTGGCTCCACTGGTGATGGGGGTGAGCTGTGATGAAATTCAGACCGGGCGAGTTTTCAGTATCCACTGTCATTGGTTATATGCTCCCATCGTATTCTATATCTTTCTTTCCAAATATTTACCAGTTCATAATTATGTATTTATATGATAATATTGTTAATGTCTTTCTCCCCAACATGACAGTAAGGCCCACGAAAACAAGGATAAGATCAATTTTTCCTACCAGTGTATATTTCAGCACCCAGTCAGTGGGTGCCTAAAATGTAGTAAGTGTGCAAAACACTTTTACGGAAATAAATAAGTAAATAAATAATTTTCAAAGAGTCCTTAGGAATGGATCAGTATCAGTCACTTGGTATGTCCTATGTAATGAAATTCTACAAAAGGTATTTTTGAACAATTAGTTGATTACACCACATTTTGAGCATGCCCACTTTCCCTGAGAGCTCGTTTCCAGAGGCTGGTTTCAGCCTTCTCTGATGACCACAGAGTGACAGCCCTTTTGCGTACTTGTATTAAGAGCATTCTATTAAATATTTTGAGTTTTATAGTTTGTCTTTAGAAGTCCACCTGAAAATTTAGAAGAACAACAACAATTTCCTTAGAAGCATATCCCCTAATCTGTTACACCAACAGTATGAGAAAAAACAGGTTTTTTCAACCCTTTCCCTTCACACGGTATGAACATCTGAAAGGTCACCTGATAGTACAGTAGGGGTGAGTGGTTCTCAAACTTGAGTGTGCATCAGAATCACACGGAGGACTTAAAACACAGATCGCTAGACAAACCCACAGAGTTTGTGATTCCATAGGTCTGGTGTAGGGGCCTGAGAATTTGTATTTCTCACAGCTGCCGCTGTGTTGCTGATGCTGCTGGTCTGGAGAGCACACTTCGAGAGCAACTAGGGTAGTTGCTGGAAGGGAATCTTGCTAAAATTAGGTTCACTACCATCCACATTCTTGGTTGAAATAGTCTCATAGAGAAAATTATAAACGATTGGTGGAGAAGATGAATTAGCAGAAGGGGCTACATAACATATATTATGCAATACAGTATTAATTAACCAGCTTGCCTTATTACTCTTTGGTTCATGGTTTGTTTTATTGTTTTTCCCAAATATGCTTCTTCAGGAATTACCTTGTTTCATTTTTTAATAACTAAAGTTCAGGAGGGAGGGGGGAGGCATCCCGAAGTTATTTTTGTTCTCAGTAAAAATCACCTCTCTTTGGCTTCCCTGTCCCTCAGCTCCTCAAGAAGTTCACTTATTCCTTTTAATCATTATCTGTAAAAATGGATATAATAGAACCTATCTCAGTGACTTGCTGTGAAGATTAAATGAGGCCCTAAATGGAGAAAACTCAGCACTGAAAACAGTCTGTAAAACGGTAGCTGCTGTGTTTTTACGGATTCATTTACTCATTCAAGGAACTAAAGTCCAATGGTCAGGGGAACCCTGACTGAAACGACTCCATGCCTAACACAGTAGTTCACCACAGCAACAGCCCTAAATCGTAAAGGGAATGTTCAGTTATGTTTTAGGTATTCTGCTTCCTGTGGCACAAAAGGGTCTGATTTGGAAATTCTGGCACAGGGCACCAGGATAGCATTCTCCCGAATTATACAGAACCACAAAGAAGAATCACCTGGAGAACTGCTTAAAAATACAGATTCCCGAGCTCCACCCCCAGACCGACCAACAGCATCTCCAGGGGAGAGGCCTGGGAATCTTTCCAATCATCACCCCAGGTGATTTCTCTGATCAGGAAGTTTGGGAAACACTGAAGGGACCTCTCACTCCATTCTAACGGTGGCTCATATAAGACCTAAACCTCATTTCTGTTTACTCAGTAGGCCACTGTTGACTACAAAATTTCAGAAGTACTTACTTAGTATTTTGTTCTTTTGAATTGAACTGAAGTCACCTGGCGAGGTCAGCTGTAAGTACGGTATTTTTTGGCTGGTGGTGCTTTGGAAAGGTTCCGAGTGTTTCGAGTTCACTCGGCGCCAGCTGCTAACTGGTCAGGCCCTGTGCTTACTTCTCAATTGCCTAACACCTCCCTTCTGTAGAACTTCCCCCCGCAACTCCTCCTCTTTCTGGTCTTTGCCTCACGTCTAGCTTGTTTGTCCCTCAACTCCATGTCTCGAGCAGAACATTTGGTGCTCTCCTAGTTCAGGACGCTTTGCTGGAAGAGTCGATTTCCAGGGATTTTACAGGCGGGCCCAAACAGTTTGTTCTGAACAGCGACGCCAGGGCCGGGACTGGCAGCCAGTCGGCCCGGGCCTTTCCTGACTCTGCACAACCACCCGTGACCTTGGGCGAGCGAGCGAGCGAGCGCCGCCTGCCCCGCTGCTTCTCGGCGGCGTCCGGGCGATGCTCTGGGGGGACCTTAGAACCGAAAGGGGGTTCAGGGGCACGGGGCAGGGGAGGCTTCTTAAGCAGGCAAGAAGAGTTATGTTCCTTTTCTCGAGGCGAATCCCTCTTACTAACTCGTGGGGGGGCGGGGAGGGCGGCGATTAGGGGAGTAAGGAGGAAAGGGAAATGTCTGCCAAGGGCTCGAGACAAAGCGTGAGAACTCAGATGGCGAGAAGCGGGCTTGAGCGAGAAAATCGGAAGGAGGAAGGCTGAGGGCGGACAATCGGGTTAAAAATAGAAACGCATTCTCCACAGGCCTCGCTCCTTCCAGCTCCACCCTGGGACCCACAGCCGCGCCAGTGACTCGGCTCCGCGCGACGGCCGCGAGGCCGGGCTTGACCCCGCCTCCCGGACCCGGGAACTGGGCCCGGAGGCGGGGCGCCGGGCTCGCGACGTCACCGCGCTCCCCGTCGCCGCCGTCGGGGTTTTCGCTGACGCACAGACCCCGCCCCCCTCCCTCTTTCCCTCACTGCCCGGGTGCCGGGCGGATAGAGAGCGTCAGTCGGACGGAGCGCGGACCAGTGTGCACTTGGACTTGGGGCTCGCTTGCTCCCAGGAGCCACGCAACTTCCGCGGCCGTAGCTGAGGCGACGGAGAGCACCACCGGCGGGCCCTCCGGCGCCCAGGCCTCCCTGCGCGCGTCCCGGTCGCCCTCGGAGTCGGCCCAGCCCGCCGCCGGTGGAGGCGTGAGGTGACGACGGGCGAGTGCCGCGGGCAGCGTTAGCCGCCGCGGCCTCCGGTCCTCCCTCCGCCTCCTCCTCTGCCCCCCCCCCCGCTTCCCTCCTCCCACTTCCCGAGCTCCGGCGTGTCCCGGCCACGCTCGGTGCTACTGCAGGAACAAAGGAGGACCCCGCGGCGGCGGCAGCGCCACCTCCGCCCCGCTCCCGGCCCGCGGCGGCCGCTCCTGGGCGCACGGCTCGTCTCTCCCGGAGGCCCGGGCCCGGCCCCACCGCGCCGGCGTCGCGCGCGAGCCCGGCTCTTGCACTCCTGCCCCCGCAGGGTGAGTGGTGCGGAGCTGGGGGACGGCGCCCGGCGGCTCGTGCCCGGCCGGGGGATGGGGGGGGGGGGGGACCGGGCCGCCTCGGGCCTCTGGCGGAGCCCGAGCGGGCCGCGGCCGGCGGCCTCCGGGGGAGGGGAGCCCGCTCGCCAGCTCAGGAAGCACAAAGACGGAGGCGTCATCCTGTCGTCGTGGCCCGAGGTCCGGCACCCCGCGTCGCCGGCTCGCCTGCACCCGCACGGTCCGGAGAACAATGCCCAGCGTGTGGGCTCCGGGCCTCCCTCGCGTCCGTCCCGGCCGCCTTCTGCGCGGCGCCCGGCGTGGGCAGCCGGACCCGGAGAGACAAAGGGGCCGTGGCGGCGGCCGCACCCCCGGCCCCCTGCTCGCCGCACCCCTCCTTCCTCCGCAGTTCGCCGCCGCCTCGGAGGAGCCGGTCAGGGTCGGGGGTCGGCGCGGGGCCGGCCTCGCCTGCGGAGCTGCTGTTCTGCATGACTCAGTGGTTTTTGGAGAAGGCCCTGCTGGGCTCTCCTGAGCAAGGCCTCGGCTTAGAGAGGGGTATGGTGGGGAGGGACGGGGGGCACCAGTGGGACCCGGACTTGTTCGGAAATCCGCTGGAACGTGGGGGGGTGCTCTTCTGTCGTCGTGTTTTAGTTTTGCCAGCGTCGCTGCGTTTCTCGCTCAAGAGCCCTTTCATGAAGGAAATGGAGCACCTTCCCCTTTGTTTCATGCATTTAGGCTGGTGAACATGAAATTCTTGCTTGCTTGCCACGCACTCCGTGGAGCTGTGTTTTGAGGAAAGGGCCGTGTTCCTTCTATTGAACGCTTCCTAAGAATCTGGTCAAAGGACATTAGGGTAAAGTAGTGTATATAGGTCACAGAGCCCTTGGTTTTAAACCTGGCATTCAGGTAATTGACAGACTTAAAGAAATTAAAACTAATCTCATTTTATTCCTTATGTTTTTAAAAGTAGGCTTTCAGAACTTAATGGGTGAAAATATTGCAATTTTTATCTTACAAGTTTTTGGTTTTTTTTTTTTTTTAATGTTTCCCCAAAAAAGAATTTATTGTAGTTCTCCCCTATTTTCTATCTCAGGCCCGGTATTAAGCCTGGAAAGGAACCTTCAGAAATCAGAGTAGTCTCCTTTTGGCAAACAGGGAAGGGAGATCTGGAGAGTAAGGACTTGCCCAAGGTCACTGGCTTAGTTAGAAGTAAATTAGTGACTAGAACTCAGATCTCAAGTCCAGGTGAGTAGGCATTCTTAACATCTATCGTGTGCACCTGAAAACTAAGTAACATAGGTGTAAAAGCCTTTTGTTTTTTGGTTTTTTTTAATTCGTATTTGAGGCTGGAGAGTTTTTCTGTTACATGTCCAGGTTTTAGTTTTCTTTAAACAATGAGTTAGGGGCACCTGGGTGGCTCAGTCGGTTAAGTGTCTGCCTTCCGCTCCGGTCATGATCCTAGGGTCCTGGGATCAAGCTCCGCATCCGGCTCCCTGCTCAGCGGGGAGCCTGCTTCTCCCTCTGCCTCTACCTACCGCTCTGCCTACTTGTGCTCTCTCTCTGTCAAATAAATAAATAAAATCTTAAAAAAAAATTAGGAAGCCACAAACTGTAAACATACACATTTCAGCTATACAAAATAAAAAAATAAACATTTCCTCTGTATCTGATAGAACTGACCCAGGAATGCACGAGTTTCTAACAACAAAACTTCAAAGGTACCAAATAGTAATGAGAATGTATTTTTTAAAATGGTGCCAAGCAGGAGGGAAACAGCACCTACTGGCAAACTACCCTCTCCTTCAAATTGCTGCTGAGCAGAAGGATTTAAACATGAGGATTCTTTCTGCCTCGGTGCTCTCTCTGCTGTGCTTGGTTTTTATAAACAACCCTGACCATTTTGGCTTCATGAGTGATTAATGATGCATCTTAGTTGAATTTGAGGTTGTTTGCTAGCCCTCTACATTAAAAAAAAAAATTGCAGTAGCCTTAATGGCATCTTTTTGTTTTGTTTCCTTATTATATTAGATATATGAACGCAGCATCCTTAGTTCTTGGGGTTGTGTAGGAGTTGGCAGGCTCTACGATATAAATAGAAGCTGATTTCAGAGGCCCCTGTTGACTAGGCTTTATGTGAGAGCCTCCATCCAGCTCAGCCTGTCACATTGCAGCCTTGTGACAGGCTGAAGCGCCCGCCCATGTGATCTAAGCTTCTGAGAAATATTAAGGCAAGCTTTGCACATGTGATGGCGTTTAAAAAGCTGGCTTTCTAGGGGGGAAAAATCTACAAGATGGGAAGGTATGTGGAAGACTAATGTCCTGGTGTCTCTTGTGTTTCAGTTGCAGGCTATTTATAGTGAATTGGAAGTAGTTGTGTTTTCTGAAGAAGGAAAGGTGGGATACTTTGCAAGTTGAAGTGGGTAAAATCATTGATGAGATTTCCCCCCCCCTTTTTATATAAAGGAAAAGATTTTAAGAATTGGATTCGCTAATGTTAACGTGGGTTGACTCTTAAATTTAGGCCAGTTTGCTATTATAAAGCCACTGTCAGATGACACTGGAAGTTAGTATAGAAACTGTGAGCTAGCATAATTCTTAAGCTGGCTTCAAGGAATGACCTTTTTGCGTAGGGCAGATTCCCACACATTGCATGGGGGGCATGCAAATAAATACATAATTTATTATTTGAAGCATTTTTGCACATTAAAAATTTTTAAAAACCCAGCTGAAAATGTTTATTAATAAACTTCATAAGTGATGTTGAAATATTTACACTACCCTGCTCCAAAATGAGTCAGCTAAATTCCACTTACTATTTAAAGAGACCGTGTCTGCTAAATTAGTACCATTGTTTTGAAGTAAGTTGTGGTTCTCCATCACCCTCCCTATAAGCTTGACTGGCTTGAAATAACTTCTTTTTGCTAACAAAAGGAAAGAGTACTATCATTTAAGTGTTGGGGAAATATTGGCAGGATTCTGGCCAGGTCAGTATTGATTAGTCTTCTAACCCCTTTTTATTAATCTTGGTAAAAAGTGTTAAATACTTTTAAAACACTGTTTTTAGTAACTTACTAAAGAATGTATTCTGTGTGGTGGTTGGGAAAAGCCATATGAAATTCTAGGAGATGACATGCTCTAGCTTGAAGTACTTCCCTGCACTTACTTGAAATGTTTATAGCTTAACAAATCATAAGTAATCTCCATTGTCAGCATTAAGGCACATGTAAATGACAGTGACCACAAGTTATAGCACACAATCTCCCTTTGATAAAATGCTCTCAAATACGCTTTTTGTACCTACATATTTTAAGGTGATACGGAAACTTTCCACAGTTTAAATTTTGCATTTATGTGTATTTTCACTCAGGAAAATTTACTAAGTTTAGCATAGCGTTACTATATTTGTGCTAATTTTAAAAGGCTTCTGGAAGTTTTTTCTGGTAACCTAGCATTGAATATTAATTACCAAAGGTTGTGTGTTCACATTGCTTTACTTTGCCATATTGAAATAGAGCTTTCAAAGGTTTCATTTCCTGATGTGAGGAAGACAAGCACTTGTGAAAAGTTTTAATAGATGGAGCCTTTGGTTGGAGAAATCTATAGCTGATAATTTGTCCATTTGCAGGTTTCTGGGCACTGACTTTTTAAGCTATTCAGACCCAGATTTCTCACCTCAAATGCAGAACTTAAAAGGAATTTCATAAGCGGCTGACCCCTAAATTCTTAAAGAGCTTTGCTTGTTGGTGCTAAGGTAACAGGAAAGGCTAGATGATCTACCAGCTCTCTTTTCAGTGTTCTGTAAAGGTGGTGCAACGTTTTTTAAAGTACAGTTGTTCTGCCCCATAGCAGAATTGTTGAATTACTGGTGAGGCCCAGGTATGTTAGAAGGTATTTTAAGAATGCTTTAAGAGCAACATCCAGTATATGACCAGTTTAAAGAACCACCAGTAGCTATCAAGAGTTGATACTTAATTGTGATCATTGTAGATTTTTTTTCATTTGCAACTTCCATTTTACATATTTTTTAGCTAAAAACACCATTTGATATGGTCTGTCTATAGTACAGGAAAGCAGAAAGTGACTTTAAGAATGCCAGTTGCCCAGACTGATTAAAATGTAATTCTGATATCTGGCAGAGTGACCTTTTCAGAAATTGAAACAAAGATCATGGTGATAGGTGAAGTAATACATTCTAATGTTTAATGATAGAATTTTTTTTGTCCTAAAGACTGTGAAGTCCTTATAGTTAATTATTTATCGTGTTAAAAGACGGTTTTTTATGCCCATTGTTTTATAAAAGCAACAAAACAGTCGTAATTTTCTTGGCCTGCTCTTGTTAATGATTAACATAATTTGGGCCTTTGTTAGAAACACACTTGGTGTTTAGAAGTAACAAAGGTATGCTGGTGGCTCTCACACTAATTTAGTGATTTTACTTTGGTAACATCCTAATTAATAAAATTTTGTTTTTGTTTTGTTTCTAGCAGAAAAATATGGCTCAGGAGACTAACCAGACCCCAGGGCCCATGCTGTGTAGTACGGGATGTGGCTTTTATGGGAATCCTAGGACAAATGGAATGTGTTCCGTTTGCTACAAAGAACATCTTCAGAGGCAGCAGAATAGTGGCAGAATGAGCCCAATGGGTAAGTTTCCAAGGAAAAACCCATTTGAAGAACTGGTGGACAGAGAATATAGAACCAAGAATTGGGGCCTAAGACTGTGAGAATCATTGCTGAGAGCCCAAGGAGAGAAGACCTGAGAAGAGCTTGAAATTAAAGCATCAGCCCAAGTACTTGAAACGACTACCTCAGGAATGAATGACTGTGTATCTACAAGTATCTTCTAGCTTTTTCATTTTCCTTTTTGAGGTTTTGTTTCATACTTAGGTTCACTGGATGTGACTTTTTCATATATGCTTTTGTTTGGATACTCACTTAATTGTAGGATTCTGCAGCACAGTGAAAGTGCTTAAATCACTAACCTAATTAAATGCAAGTATTTGTTACTTATTAATAGTCTTGATACTGAGTGTTTGTAGTCTTGCTCTTTCTTACAAATCCTTTTTTTAAATAGGAACAGCTAGTGGTTCCAACAGTCCTACCTCAGATTCTGCATCTGTACAGAGAGCAGACACTAGTTTAAACAACTGTGAAGGTGCTGCTGGCAGCACATCTGAAAAATCAAGGTAAGATTGACCATTTCAGGCTTTTTATAATAATTCGAGGAGGAAATAAAGATACCTGTGCTAACCGTACTGTTCTGAGTGTTCGTATATAACAAGGATGTTAATATATCAGATGCCCTTGGCTTTATATGTGTTGCACAATCTGGGATTCCAGGATCCTTTTAATACATGATCTTATAGGTCATTGAATAAAGATGTATATTATAGCACACTCCATGATGCTCTGTTGAGAATGCTGTGCTTTTATTTTCCTGTAATTGAGGTTTAGGGATTGTGGAGAGTACGGCTCTGCAGACTGTATTCGAGTGCTACACATGGCATTTTGGCAAAGCTGCCCCTTTGCCCTTAAATTACAGGCACAGCTAAAAGTTCCC